GCCATGGCGCTTCCTCAGAATGCTGTTCCCACAGAAAAAAAATTCTATCTGCCTGAAAAACCCCACCCTGACACCGACTTGCGCCCAAACATAGACAATGACAGTCACCTCACAGACCAGCCAGGACTGGGTACTAAAAACCAAGCCGGGGATATAAAAAGAAAAAGTTTTCTCTCTTCTGGCTATTTCTTTTTTTTTTTTTTTTTAATTTATAGTTTGTCTGTCTACTACCTATAAACAAAGCTATACAAGCTACAGCCTCTAAGGAAAAAACAGAACATCAACTATTCAGGCACTACTACACAGCTTTTAAACACCACACAGCCAGCTACAACTCAAACCACCACCTCCTCTCCCCTTGGCCACCCTACCACCAAAACTGCCACAAGCCATCACTCTCTGAGAACCTCAAAAACACCAGGTATGGGGGCCTCAAAAAATCAGCCTGCCTGAAAAAACTCCCACCTGAGCCTGACCTGCACCCAAATCTAGATAATGATCCTTGCATTGCACACCAGCCAGGACCAGGGAAAAATTACCCAGCCAGGAGACAGGAAAAACAGAAGTTTATTCCCCTGACAGAGTTATTCATTAAATCCAGTCTATGTACTCAAATTGAGCCCACCTACAACATTAAAAAATAAAACACACACACATACACACCTCGACACATTCTAAACATATCGCTATTCCACCTACCACCAAAACCAACCCCCACTCTCTGCTAGCTTATGCTTCCACCCAACTGTCACAACAGACAGGCACCCCCTGAAGACTATTACAGCGGGACTCGAGCACCGAGCCTGAGGAAATCCTGAGCCAAACCTGACCTTCACCCAGACACTGACTGTGACCGTCACCCTCCAAGAGCACCTGCGACTGGGTGAAAATAAACCCCACCTGGGAGACAAAGATGTCACCCGGTTGGAGGATTTGTCTTCTTATTTAAAACAAACCCATACCGTATACCCGTGAACTCTATTCCACCTATCCCTGAGACTCCACAGCCCCAGGCAGAGCAGCTCCAAGTCACACAGACACACACAAAATACTACAAATGACAAGATTCAAAGATGACTAAACACTAAGCGATAAGGACACCCAGAAGGGTATGCCGTAAGGCGAGAAGACTTAGAGAGCCACGATGGTGATGTGAGGAGACTATATGGCAGCCTACAAGAAGCACTAAGTGGGACGGCCATTTACAAGAAGCTACCAGCAAACCAGAGACGATGGGTATGCAAGAAGATGGGCTTCAAGACCTAAGAATGTCAGGATACCGGAAAGAAGTCACCGGCAGGAACAACGGATGCCTAAATAGCAGAGCTGCTGCCTCAGCCTGCGACGATGCTGCGCGAAATACTCCCAACTGGAAAATGCCAACACCTACCATCGCTTTAAACTTATAACGCAAGAATAAAAAGCACCCGATCTGCAGCGTGCCGATGAAGATGTGCGTTCGATACCCTAGGGATGGCTCCTGAGGCACGTGCCTTGCTCCTCGAGCACAAACAGATGTGAGGACATAGAGATGCAAGGAAGGACCAAGACACGGTAGACAGAAGAAACATACTACACGATAACACACACAAAGGCTAGAACTGCCCTGCCCGGGACACGCTAACATCGAGGGGAAAAGTCATCTGTTCCCTTTACCTGACTGTAGGGCTCTGCTCCTGTACAGCCTTCTCCCCTACGCTAACTTTCAAACTCTTCCCTGCAGTTCCCAACCTCAACCCCTCCTCTCGGCCCCGTTCCCTCGACTTAGCTTTCAGAAGACCGTAGGTCCGATTCCATCTTCGACAAAAGCAGCACAGCACCTGACTAGCATGTTCCTGCGGTGGCCAGATTCCTTTATCACCTGCAAAAAAGGAAGAAGAGCACAACTGCTGGTCAGTATCATTCTGCTCCCCGCTTACCTCTTCTGCAACCCCCACCCATCCTCAGAAGCATCGTGGTGTGCCGCTCACCTGCTCGTTTTGGACTCAGATACTGCAGCCGTTGCCTCTTCCGGTACCTAACTTACCGAGAGACAAAGTTAACGTTGAGCTTGTGAGAACTCACCGACCCCGTGCTCGTCCTTGCTACTACCCTGGCTGCTTTCGGATGCTCAGATGATCCCAAAGGTGGCTCACTTGGCACCTGAAAAACCAAGGTAATTGTTTAACCGAGTGGCCATATAAAACTGCGCTATTAGACTCGGACCTGGCTGACGACTGCCTCACCTTCTCAGATGGCTCAGCGGCATGCTCCTTCACCCTTCCGAGGCTACGTGCGTCACCTACAAAAAACCAAAGTAGCAGCACTTGCCAAGATGCTGCCCAAAACTGCACCCCACCCATACCGATAACCGTCTCCCTCCCCCTTCGTTTACGTGCTGACCCGCTCCGCCTCTACTGTTTACAGGTTGTCACGTTGAGGCTCGGGTACCGCTTGCAAGACGAGCGACGAGGCGTGCTTCTACCTTCACCGATAGGACGCCTGAAAAGTAACTGCTGCTTCAGCCCCCTAGTCACGGCTCTTCTCGTCCACATCCCCTCCGGTGCCAAAAGTTCACGTTGCTCGACGCTTTGCGCCTTCCGAGTAAAATGCACCTATCGGCTAGTCATATAGCCACCGGTCACATCTTCCCCCGACGCTTCACGCCAACCTACCTTCCTAAACTGCTCGATTTATCTTCTCTGTTGTCGTTAGGTGAGGGAGTCATCCCTCTTCATCTGCAAAAGAGATATTGAATGAGTCACCTGGATGACGAGCGATACCTTAACAGTTACAGAGATCCCATTTTCATTTAAGTATACCACCCCAATTCTCTCGACAGCCTGGTGTCAATAAAACTCTGCTCATCCCCTGAGTGTCTGCGTAGCGCTACAGAAAGAACTCTTCTTGCCTGTTGGCTACATAATTAGTTGCTCTGAAATGGACGGTACGCCTTTTCCCTACAAAGTCCAGGCTTATTGACATAGAACCTTACTGTTCTTCTACGGCTGTCACCTCTACGCACCCAGGCAGAGCAGCTCCGACAGACAAACACGCACAGACCGACACGGCACACAAACAAGAGGAGAGACATAAAATAAGCTCTTTAAGAAGAAAAACTCAGATCGGAGATGCTCTCGGACAGGAAGACCTACATGGCCGTGAGGAAGAAGGGGCGGCAGGCCGAGAAGAGTCAAGTGTTGTGGCCTGACAGAAAACCTGATAGCCTCCACAGGGATAAGGCATGCGCAAGTAACGTCGCTTCAAGACCTAAGAACGTCAAGATGCCGGGAACGACTGCCAGAAAAGATATTTGAGAAGATGGATCGCTGTACGTCAGAGATACTAACGCAGCCTGGAAGGACATTGCAAATGCAGCATGACCGGAAACTTCTGAGATCTAGCTACGCTTTAGGCTAGTAAAACAAAAATAAGAACTGCCTGGTTGGCACTGTGCCGATGACTATGGGTGTTCCTGGCCCGAGGGAAGATGTCCGAGGCAACTAATGCGCTCCTTGGGCTCAAAGAGCCACGACGACGTCGAGACCCAAGAAAAGTCTAAAGATGCACGAGACAAACAACACGGACTACACGACGACACAGGCCGGAACTGTGCTGCCTGGCACGTGCTAACCTCGTGCTGAAAAGAAATGCCTTCCACCCCCCCTTCTGCTGCCCAAAGAGCACTGTTCCTACACGGCCCTCTCCCGTAAATTAACTTTAAAACTTCTCCCTGCAATTTCCAACCTTGGGCTGCCCCCCAGACCATTCACCCAAGCACCGGTCCCTCGACTTATCTTTTACGGTGCCAGGAGTCTGAATCCATTGTTGAAAAAACAACGCGCTGAGTAACCAGGTTATTCAGACAGTTGCTAGGTTCCTCTTTGCCATCTGCATAAAAACACGGTGAGCCGTAAGGACCTTACCGATTGATGTGCACCTCATCTGCCACACCCTCCTCATCAGAAACAACAATAGATTTCCTCTCACCTCATCTCAAAACCGTACAAAATCCTCTTCTCCTCAATTGCTGATGAAGGATCCGTGCTCCTTCCTAGAAATGAAATTATACAATACACTTTATTAAACTTTCTTACCCACCCAAACAAAATAAGTAATCTAAAGTAAAAAAAAAAAAAAAAAAAAAAAAAAAAAAAAAGAAAGCAAGCTACATATAAACATTCTATCTACTACATATGTTGCTGAACCTTGACCGGTCCAGAAAATCTTACCTCAGATGACTCTGTCCCTCGAGACATCAAAACACATCTGTCTCAAAAGCTGAAATGGCTCAAAAGCTGCTCCTGACTACAAGACTGAGAGAGCACTGACTCCTGAGAAACCCAGGAGCGGAATGAGCTTCCTGTCGAGCGGCTGGGGCTTATATACCCCGGGCCCCGCCCACCAGCCTGCCCACAATCCCCTGGGAAAGGGGCGGGGCCAACCCCCCACAGGTATAAAGTCAGCCAGAGGAGCAGAGGGGAATTTTCTCCTCTGCCTAAAGTTTAGAACACGCATAGCACTCTGCGGAGAAAGCGACTCTTACCAGAAATGACTATACCCGCTCTTTTACTGGGCCTGTTGTGTCGGCGATGCGACCCGGTAGGGAGTTCTGCTTAATTTTTCCAGGGTATACGTAGAAAAATATGGGTATTCGATTAGGCTCTGTAACAAGAGTTGAATAAATGCAATAGCGATACTCCTATTGACAACGATGTGCTTTAGTTTCCAAGAAAACAACCAAAATGCTATAGCGTTATGCTTCGTTTCTACAGAGACTCCGCACGCTACCTAGCTTCTACTGGAATTATGCCATGAATGAAACCGATTCAGAAAGTGGGGGTAGATCCTACGAGAATCCCTCCTCTGGGAAGTCTGGAGGGGATCTGAATGGACTGCGCGTGCTCTCTGAGGACCGGGGATGGAACAGACACATCCTAGCTACCGTAGAGGAAAACGTGAACTTTCTGCAGACAAACTATAGCGTCCAGAAAGGTCCTCTTGGCACGCGGAGGGCACAAAGCACGCCGCCGTTTTGCCAATCGATGGGGTTAACGCAAAGGGCACAAAAGCTGAGCTAAAGAGATAGGCTTATTTGGCTGGCTGTCTCGAGGTAATAAGCGATAGGTAAGAAACGAGGTGTTTAAAAATTAAGGCGATGTGTCCAGTCCTTACTATACCAGATGAGTCGTAGCGATTAAGAAAGATACATCGCCGATCGTCCTGGTGGTTAACCGTCGCCTGGATCCGTGCTTCAGCCGGGGAGCCCCGTCACGATGAAGGATCGGAGAGACTTTCCCGGCAACTGGCGAGTCCTACACGGTGCGTCCGCTCGTGGACAAGGTCTCCGTCTTTGCTGCGCGAGGGTTCCGGTTTTAGATGGGTTAACAAACAAATCTGTAAACGTGTAGAACTGACAAAATGCACGCAAGACATCGGGTGGATTGAGTCGCCTCGTCGTCCTCCTTTGGGATTCTTTCCCGAGCCTGGCCGAGGCTCGAGGACGAACTGAGGGAGTTTGCGTATTCAACCTCGATAATGGGCTTCTAAACGAGGAAATGTCAACATAAGAGGAACCGAGGGAGTATGCGTAATCGACCTCAGTAATTGGCTCCTAAACTAGGAAATGTCGGTATATTCCTGTACTGTTTTATCTAAGTTACTTATCTCGATAATGAGATGTTCTATCCAAGCTACGTATTTCACTAATGATTGGATACGGTCAGTATATAACACTTTTGGCCGTGAGATTCGTCTAGAGGGTGACTTTGGCTCGAGACCTGTCGTTCAGGCCTCGGTACTTTGATAGCAGAGCCGATAAAAAGCGGTGGAGCACGAGGACGGCCTCGGGAGGCACGCTGACATCGGGAGAAGAGCAAAACGTAAAAGACGGCTCTCGCACGGGATGCTTAACTAGGGAAGGCATCCCCGCGATGTACGGATATTCTCGGTGGACGACCGACCAAACGGATGCATCCGAAATGGCGGTGATTAAGTAAGACGGCTCTGGGGTGTGGACAAAGCCCGAGGAAGGGATCTGTCTGCGTAAGAGATGTACGCGGAGAGCCGTGGAGCTCAAACGGTGCTGTCAGACACGAGGATTGTCTCGAGAGATGTCGTGACGAGAATGAGAGGGCTCCGGGGAGCGGAGGGAACGTGGGTGTGGAGACAAACAAAGGACAAAAAATAATTTGAAAAAAACGCGAACGGAATACAGGTAGACAGGGTACAGTAAAAGCGATGGTTAATAAAGAAATAATGAAATAAATAAGAAATATTGATGGCAAATTACAGGGGAGATGTAGAAATAAAATTTAAGAGGTCAGCAACGGGGAAAACCGAGACGAAATAATTTAAAAACAAATGTGGTGACCGAGATACGAGCCAATTGTAAAAGCCCAGGGATGAAGAGACGAAAGAATTTAAAAATACAGATCGCAAACCGAAACACCGCTGTTGCGAAATGGCCGAGCAAAAATAATTGCTTAGCGTAGCGTAAAAACTTAAGCGATCGGTCAAACGCCTATGACGTGTCATCTGTCACACGGAGATCCATGGGCTAGGTGACCGTGATAAACGCCTCCCCGGAAACGCGTATGTGGAGAGACTCCGTGTCTCATTGACAGACTCCTAATCGGAAGCCCTCGTCCTTCAACGTCAAGGCCCTCTGAAAAAGAACAAACTAGCTGAAGGCAGGCGGGATGTAAGAAAGCGCAGACGTAAACCGAAGAAAGGCCCATTCTAAAACCTAGATGAAGTTCGAGAAAGGATCCTCTCCAGAAACTGCTATACACCGCCGAGGACCTCCGTGGAAGCCCCTCAGGGACCTAAATCGCACAGGTAATAGTTATATAACGACGATAATGAGTTAACGAATAGGCACGTAACGGGATGATGTGAGCTTTGGCTGTGGTCATTTATGACAGGTGAGTTAGGCGGAACGATTCCCTCACGTACCCGGCCGGATAAAGTAATCCCCATGCGTTAACGCTAAACCTGGCGTTAAGGAGGTGTCGTTGCCGATTTCACTATAGAATTTTGGCGACCCGGATGGGATGCTGCCTCGGAAACTTGACGAACCCACGGGGTTGGAAAGACGCTGGCGTCGCCTAAGTGGTTTTCGGGGAGATCCTCCCGATTCCCTGATCTGGTGAGTTTGGAGTAAGAGCCCTAGCGGTTTGTTTTGTTTTTTTTTTTGTTTTTTTTTTTTTTTTTTTTTTTTTTCTTTTGGTTGGTAGGTTTGTTTGTTTGTGTTTTTTTTTAAGGCATTACCAAAGGTAACACAGACTGGAAAAGCCTGTCCGTAAGACTGGACGCAAGAAATTCCCACGGAACTCTGCTATTAAAGGAAACCCGGGAAGAAAGGCGAGATTACACGTTATTACGGTGACGTGCCCGGAGTGTCGCCTGGGGTCAGATGAAAGCCTCGATCGCTCGTAAGGTGCGGGCTAGGGTATCGCGGTGCATTGGCCAATGTACGTGTCTAATTATTATCTCGTATAACAGCCTCGTTTAGTCTGTTAGGCGGTGTCATAGTTTTGTGTACGTAATTGTTTATTTTGTTTAATGTGGGTTCCGACAGGTCTAAGGGGTCTGAGAGCGGTCTTTTCAAAAATTCACCTCTGGAATGTATATTAAAATATTGGAGGGACGTGGGAAGCGAACCCCTTATCTGGGAAACAATTCATTGACTATTGTAATCGTTGGTGGCCGCTGTACGTTTTAGAAGATCGAGAGAAGTGGCTGTTAAAGGAGACTCGAACTCTGTCGTGGGTTACTCTAGATTTTATTCAGGTCCGGCGGCGTTGGGTCACCTCCGCAGAGAGTGACAGCGTACGTGAGTTCGCATACGTGTATTTATGCACCTACAAAGCATTACCTAATCCAAAATACACACAAATATACTTTATCGGTCATTATTATCTTGACAGTGGGTTTCACATCTTGTTCTGGAGTCCGACCGCTTCGTTGTTTTGTTTCTTCTTTCTTTAGTCTTCAAGGACGATTACCTCCAGTTCTGTACGTATCGGTTCTTAGCGATCACAATGATAGATCTCCCATCGCTTCGGTAGCTAGAGGTCAGTTTCTCATACATCAACATCCTTTGAACTGTCAGGCCCGTCGTTACCTGTGTTACAACGTTTTATCGATGCTCTATTCGGTTGACTGCGCTTGCAGCCCTGGGCTGGGGCTATACAAGGGACAGAGCCGATAGAACAGCTTGTGCAGCAGCACTGCATTGAAACGTTTTCCCAACGGGCCCCCATTTTCTTTTAGGATACTCGCTATCCTATCGAATACGATAGGGTATGGTGGGACTTCGAGATAAACGCGAGACGCAACGCTGACACGCAAACGTTACCGTGATCAAAATGATTATGACTAAAACAACTACCGTTAGAATCTTCTTCATTAAAGTTGGAAAATCAGGAATCCAAGAAGTAGCCCATTGCCGTAAATCACTAACGCCCCGTGATACATTGTCTCGTTGCGCAACTTGCATCGTATGGCTTACTTCCCATTTTGGCAACATCTTATTCTTCCGTTTAAATGTTTTTACCGACGCTTCATCTCCCACCTTATAATCGTGAACCTGTACTTCTGGTATCACACCTTGGTACCGATATGCATATTTTCTAATTTTCTGAAAGGAATCTTGTAAATATAATAAATATTGAGTGACGTTCTCATCTCCATCCAGTAGTGCAGTTTTTGCTGAAATATACGAACCGGGTACAGCTAAAATTCATCGAAATAGGACCTCCGCTGGGCTAATTCCTAGCGTCTGCTTTGGAGTAGTTCTAAGATCCCATAAAACTAAATTTAATGCCTCTGGCCGCTTTAGTCCGGTTTCGCTGCATACTTTCGCTAATTTCTCCTTAATTGTTCTATTCGTACTTTCTACTTGCCCTGATGAAGGTGGGTGATACGGAGTATGAAACTGTCCTTT